CTACCCCATCTCGGCCCCCTTAGTAGCTTAATTAGTAGCTGTACTTGAACAAATTATGCATTTTACCCCCATTTCTAAGTAGAAAGGTTAACTCACTCTGAGTTAAAACTTCCCAAAGTCTGAACTTGACCCAGAGCTGAGTTAAAAATGTTGTTAACCCTTCAGTTTTAAGTGTGTGCATATTCTAACAGATATGAGACTTGAGAGGTTAAAACACTGTTCTAAACCGAGCTAAACTATCTCATGAACGCTGCAGGTTTTTCATCTGCTTGTCTAAATGAAAATATACAAATAATTTTGAATCACCGATTTTTTTTCCATCATGTAATCAGAATGAACATAAATAGGTTAGTTATTTTATCTGTAAAAACAGTGGAATTCTACACAGTAACTGCGTTTGCATCTTAGTTGTTTAATCAAGGACTGATTGACACCATTAAAAAAAAACACACACACAACTGATTGTAATCTTGACGTCCGTTCAGCTCAATTTGTTCCCAGTCCAAAGCAGAAAAGGAAAAATAAGGCTTCAAAAGTTCTAACGAATGACTCGAGGTGTGGGAATAGATGCTCGCTTTCTATTAAGTCCAACACCAAAACAAGATATTTACAGAACCTGTCCCAGATAGGTGAGCTCAGTGTGGGTGAGGAGGGCTGCCTATAGATGTTGAGACCTCACAGATCTGAGGTCACCGTCGGTCTGACAGGAAGAACGCAGCTCTTCTTTCATGTGAAAATCTGCAGTGATAGATGAGAGACAAGCATCTGCAGCCTCACATGACCAAACACACTCACGTACACAACCCTGGCACGCCATGCATTGCAACCAGCACACACACACACACACCACCGACCGGAGCCCTCTCACCTCCCACGTTACATATCGGAGACAGCACGCAGTGGAAGGAGCTGGGTTAATAACAAGTGTGAAAACGGAAATCCCACTCTGTGGGTGAGAGCCAACGAACACCGAGGGAGCAGCAAGAGGCGAGAGCTGCAGTCAAATCAGACTTAAAGAATGTCAGCTCAGACTCACACCGGGGACCACGCACTCAAACAACAAGTCCTCTTTGGAAAGAGCTTTGAAGAAAGGAAGGATTTCACCGTTCTGCTTTGAGAAGAAACAAATGGCAGTTTCATTTTGTGGCCCACTCCGTCAGGAGACTGTTGAACTTTTATGCTTTTCTTTCTCGTCTAAAATGCGCATAAAATAAACCCGTAACATGTTTTGTTTCAGATTATCAGTATTCTGCACGTGAGACTGTAAGGACAAACGTAGCATTGAGGAGGAGGAGGGGGGCTTGGTCCTTGGCAGGTTGTTCTGTAGTGTTACATAAAGAGGCCCCTCCTGTTTTGGATACATTACATTTAGTGTCTCGCTGAGAATACCTTCAGGCTAAATTACCCCCACCACCTTCCCCGAGGACTAATGTGTGAGGATGTGATGAGCTGCAGTCTGAAGCCAGAGGCATAAACACACTCCCATATGACTACACACACACACACACACATTCATATCGGCTGACAGAGGCCCGAGCAGGTCAGGGAATCAGACAAATGATCATCTAAAATTTAAATGACAGCACAATAAGCCCTTGTGTGTTTTGCCTCATGCAGTTTCTATATAAACCAGATGTTTTCTTAACCTTTTCGGCACGCAGCTGTGCCGGTACGGGCATTTCTCTGCAGTGTACTGTTTAATTTCCTCTGCAGGTCCTGAAACAGGCCTGCTGGTGTCTGTCGCATTGTGCAGTCTCTGCGGCATCGACGAGGCTTTGGAGACAACTGAATCAGATCCGAGCGAGGCCACCTACAGATTAACGAAAAGTGAGACAACGTTGCAAAGATAACAGCATTTGTTTGGGTAAGCCTGCAAAGAATTCCTTCAAGTGCTGTATCACGTATTAAAGTTTGGAAACTACAGTCTGGGCTTTGTTTTGACGTTATGGAGTAAATGTTACAGTTTGAAAACAATATGTCTGTAGAATAAAAATGAGAATCAAATCAAGGGATTATATAAACAGAAGTCGCGGTCAGAGGAATAACATTTAACAAACTTGTGGCTGTGATTGGGGGAGTGGTGGCGCAGAGGCTAGAGAAGGTGCACCTGTGATCGGAAGGTCGCTGGTTTGACTCCTGGACTGTCAACATCAAAATCTGTGGGGAAAAGGTGAAGCACCCACACCTGTTGGTCACCTGCTTCAAACGTTATCAACCATTAAATGGTCGTTATTATTATCATCCCCATAAGTTGCGTTCAGACTGTACCTCCAAGGTTTAAAGGTATGTTCTTATCGCTGATAATACGGTCAGTGTTAGGTTAAGGCTCAAGGGTCAGGGGTTAAGATTGGGGTCAGGTATAAGGTTAGGTTAAGGAAAATAGTTTAAAAAAGCTAAAACAAGCTTCCAGTTTTAGACACGGGCGAAGCTGAATATTATCACTGTTAAGAGCGTACCTTTAAACCTACTAGGAGGTAGGAGGGACAGTCTGAACGCAACCTATGGGGATGATAACAACTAATAACGGACATTCAATGGGTGATAACATTTGAAGCCGCTGCACCTTTCTCCATCCTCATTTGCTCCACTCTGGGCCCTTGAGCAAGGCCCTTAACCCCCATCTGCTCCCCTGGGTGCCTTAGCTAGCAGCTCTCGGCTCCATACGGAGGGCTGTGGTAGCTTGGTGGTCTGTGGCTGCGTCAGGAAGGGCATCCAGCATTAAAACAATTGCCAAGTCTTTGTGTGAGATAGCCCGACGTGGCGAGCCCTGAGGAGGGGAGCAGTCGAAAGAAGAAAAAAATAAAATAAAATGCGTGTCTGTGACTACATTAATATAGTTGTTTATGATAAACTCTACTAGGATGGCTGTGGCTAAGTGGTTAGAGCAGTCGTTCTCCAATGCGAGAGTTCGGGGTTTGATTCCACCAGCAGTCACATGGCGAAGTGTCCCTGGGCAAGACACTGAACCCCTCATTGTCTCCGATGTGTGTCCCGTCGGTGTATGAATGCGATAAAGCTCTGATTATTCTTTGTATCGATATAGTAGAGTGCTGTATGAATGGGTAAACGAGGACACAGATTGTAAAGTGCTTTGAGTATTTTGACAAGATAGAAAGGCGCTATGTAAGTACAACACAATCCATTTACCTTTTACTACATGTAAACTCACGTTTAGGTATGGTGACCAATCATAGGAGTGAATGAGGCTCTCACAGTTCCACCCATACATGATCTGAGCTGGTCGTTTATAAACTTAGGGGTTGAGAACCCACTGCAGGTCAAAAGACATCAAGTTGGGGTCCTCAGATACATACATTTAAATGTAACAATTATCACTAATGACATATAGTTACTCATAATCATTACAAAAGATAAAACGTTGCACTTAAAGACCTTTTTTTTTGGGAAGAAATTAACACCCACAGCCATAGTTTAGGACCAAGATCATCTTATGTTAAAAAAAAAAAAAATTAGTTGTTGTCATTTGATCAAACCTTAAAAATTATGTCATGCTATATTGTTGAGGATTACGCTCAGCTACTACCACACCAACATTAGCTCAATGTTTGTAAAATTAGCTGTTACAGCTTTTGTTGTGTTTGAAAATATCACTTAGCTGCAGCCGCCATCTTGAATGGGGTTGGCACGACAAGTTAATCAGAGTAAAAAAAAATAAAAATCACTTAATAAGAATTTCTTTAAAATCTGTACATTGGTTCATGAGATATTTTGCTAACAGACACAGTTGAATCCATTAGTTAATGACAAAGCTTTATAAAACACATCTTGTCGGATATAAATCCGAGCCACGACCACCCCTGAGGTGTTCTGTAAAACTGACTGAGTTATAACTATTTTTGTGTTAGCTTAGCCACTTAGCTGTGGCACCCATATTTAATGGGGTTGACAACAAAAGGTAATGAGTTACGGCGATGAGCTCAACGATTTATTTCTGAGAGTTTCATTAAAATGTATCTTGTGGTTTATGAGACAGTTTGCTAAAGCTCATGCACTCACAGACACAAGCAAAACCATGCTTCAAACAAACTTCTCCTCCGGCAGCGGGTGATAATTAACTGATTTTAAAACGTAATAGCACAGTAGTTGAGATTGTCTGACATAATATCTTTATTTATTTGGGTTATTGTACTGTAAAACAGGATTTCGTCAGTGTGTGGTGTCAGCTTGATAAACTTTTGGTGATTTATTTCAGATAAGATGAAATTACAAGTTAAACATGTCTTGGCTACAAAAATGGTTAATTTATTTTTACCAACTGAATCGTAATTTCATGCTATCTGTGGAAAATCAGTCAGGGAAGAGCGCTCAAATATTTGGCATTCTCTCTGTTTTGGACTTGATCCCTCCCCCTCCATCCTTCGTGATGCTTCTTTCTGGATTTGAGCCCGTTTTAACGCACAGAACATCATGTCCAGGGAGTGTCTTTCAGTCAAACAACATTTGGTGAATTTTGGAACAACTGAAAAATAATGAATGCATCAAGACAAGATCCTCTAAGACAAACTGATTTCAACAAGATGCATGATTTCTTGTGGATAAAAGACTTTCAGATTTAAAGTATTGTTGCATCAGTTTTTGAAATTTCATTTAAATGACCAAACGCTATGAATCAGGCTGATTTGAAGACTGAACAATTCAACAATTATCTGTAAAATATCCCTGATCAACTTTACAGAAACAAAGTTTAGACAACTGACCATTTTATTCAACTGAATTTAATCAGCTGGTAACTAAAAATCAATCGAAGGTTTTCACAACATGCATGAAGTGATGTAAGAACAAATTCTGTTTGTTCACTTCACCTAAAACTCCAGAGCAGCCCTTTCACTCACTGCCAACATGTTAGATTTTACAGTACGGACGCAACTAATTCAATAAACACGGGGTGATCATTTATTATACCAAATCTTTCATAAAGGGTTTAAATGTTGAACATGTAAATGACAAATAAAGGTAGCTTTGTGGGACGCAGAACCTACCTATGGGTAAGGCCAGGAAGAAGGGCAGCCAGCAGAGGATAAACATGCCCACTACAACTCCCAGAGTCTTAGCAGCCTTCTTCTCCCGGGAAAACTTGAGAAGTTTCACAGTGAGGGAGCTTCTCGCCTGGTGCGCGCGGCCCTTGCCTGCGCCCGAGCTGCCGGAGTGATGGTCCTCCTGCACCTGAGAGCCCTTGTGGATCCTGAGGGTCAGCTCGCTGGTGTTCATCCTCTCGCGCATCACCCCCGCCTCCAGGTTCTTGGTGGTCCTTTTGGCCACGATGTACACGCGGCAGTACATCGCCAGGATGACGGCGAGCGGGATGTAAAAGGAGCCGAGGGAGGAGAAGAGCGCGTAAAACGGCTCCTCGGTGATCAGGCACACCGAGTCGTCCGGGGACGGCGGCTGCTTCCATCCGAGCAGGGGTCCGATGGAGATGACCACGGACAGCACCCAGACCCCCAGCATGGCCAGCAGAGCGCGCCTCTCCGTCACGATCCCCGGGTACTGCAGCGGGTGGCTCACCCCGATGTAGCGGTCGATGGAGATTACGCACAGGCTCATGATGGACGCGGTGCAGCACAGGACGTCCAGCGCAGCCCAGATGTCACAGAAGATCCTGCCGAACACCCAGCGGTCTAGGATCTCCAGGGTGGCGGACACCGGCAGCACCGTGGTGCCCAGCAGCAGGTCGGCCATTGCCAGGTTGATGATGAAGTAGTTGGTCGGGGTGCGCAGGTGTCTGTTGCACACCACGGACAGAATGACGAGGATGTTGCCCGCGATGGCGAACACGATGAAAGCCCCCAGCACCAACCCGAGCGGGATGGCTCGGCTGAGGTCCACCTTCGTGTCGTTCCTCCCAGGGCTGCTGCTGTTGGTGCTGTTGGTGAAGTCGAGTTCCGAGGAACCATTTTTCCACAAGTTTGTGACATTGTCAGTGCTCCAACTCATTTTGATTTACGACGTCCTCCATAGCAGGCTTTCAGATGTCCGCAACTTATAAATAAAGACCCGAATTGAAGTGGTCCAAGTGCGCTTCGTGTCCGCATTGGGTCAGATCCGCTCCAAGAAACCCGGGGTTCTTTCATTACGCATGCCGCTCAGTCTGCGTCCTCCTGTCTGAGGGCTCAGTGAGGAACTGAGGGTGGAAGCAGTCCTCCTGCCTCCTCTCTCCCACACAGAGCTGCCTCAAACTGACCCAACATCCCCCCAAAAAAGCAAGTACGCATGACGCAGCGCGCGGAGACGTGACTCCCCAGAAATAACGCACAGGATTCTTACAGAGCTACAGTGGGTTTTTCAGGAGAAAAACTTTGGTTTTCATCGCTCCTGCTTTTTTGTTTTGTTCTCATTTTAGGAGATGGGGGCACTTTGGACAGCCACAGTTTTTACTGAGCCTATTTTTAATATTTTTCTCACGAGGGGAGTGAGAGGAAACTGGACAATAACCATGCTGAAACAGCCACATAGTTTAAATCTCGTTTAAAGGAGCTTTGTTTTTGGCATGGTTTTAAAAGTAAATTAGAAAAAATAAATAAACACACGGATTTTTATTTATTTATTAGGGTATATATGTTTTGCCATATTTTTTGCGATACATTAATACATTCAATCGGTTTAAAGTGAGATTTTCAGTCAGTCAGCTCTCAAAGCCATAAGCTCAGAAAGTAGAATTGATTAAAATCTCAGATATTTCTGCTGAATTCCTATTTTGGTCAAAAACGGAGGGATTCCTCAAAGTAATCTTATGTTGGGTTTGAGCTCAGTTAGTGAGGAGTGACTGATTTAATGGGCTAAGAGCCAGTGGGGCTTTAGTTTGGTCTCAAGCAAGATATAGGACCCCCCAAACCCCTGCTCCATTATCAGATATCAGATGGCTTATTGAGGGGAATGAATCTTATGAAACCATCTTGCTCTGATGTTGGATTTTTCTGTTTTTCGTTCCTGAAATCAATCTCTTGACCAAATATGGTGACCTCCAAAGGTTATGTTTGCTGAGTGTCTTAACTTTAACGACCACAAAGACTTCTTCTCAACCATAAAAGACACAGCTGAGCAGTTCAAACGCTCCGTTAGGAGTCCAGGGCCTGGATGCATAAAACTTTCTGTAGTAATCAGGCCTAGAACTACTTGTATATAAACAAAGGCAGAAATGTACAAAAGCTGTTATATTCTATTGTTAAAACACAGAACAAAAACATCATTTTACTCATACATGCACTGGATGCATGAGGGATCTTAATAAGTGAAACTAACACCTGAAGACTATCTTTATTTTTTAAGAAGAAGAAAGTGCTACTGTATGTATTATCATCATCATATGTTTGATAAAATTAATTTTCTGCATTTAACCCATCACATGTGAGATACACCCAGGTGGATCAGCAGGCAGCTATGTAAGCGCCCGGGGAGCAATTAAGGATTAGACATCTTGCTCAAGGACACCATTACATGTAGACATGGCGGGGAGTTGAACCTGTGACTTCCTGGTCCCAAGTCAGCTGCCCTACCTCTACACCACAGCCACCCTGCAGGAGACAGGATTCAGAGCTAACAGACTAAATTTATAGGGAATTTATTTTTTACTATTTATAAAGTGGGGTTCTGTGAAAAAAATAAACAATTACTATCTTACCTGTTAGCACTTAACCAACCTCAGCTTAAATAAATAGTTTAATTGTGACTGGAATGGCGAGCTAACCTCGGGTGGATTATGTTTCAAAACTATTCCATCTTTAAAAATTCTGGAGCGGTTCATGTGAACACTATTTTATAAAGTTTTATGTCGTGGTCAGTTTTATATTTACAGTTAGAGACTTCTGGTTATTTGCAAGCACAGACACCTGCAGTAGCAGCTAGCTTTAGCACTTAATGTGCAGCCTGGTGCACTCTCTGCAGAAACACAATATAAAAAAGCTTTTGTATGAATAACAAAGTCCATGCTCAATAATCCAGGTATATAATCCAACATTTTTCAGTCAGGTCATCTGGACAGTTTCTTTTTTTGTGCTGAAACGTTTCACCTTCGATCCAGAAGGCTTCATCAGTCAAGGAAACACACAACAAAACTGATTCTTCCCCCAACAGCTTACTCCAAAGTGGAACAAACCAGTTCTGCTTGTGATAAGATGGTCTCTTTGGTACACCCCCTCCTCCATTGCCGGATCTCTTTCTTGTTGACAGTCGTGTCAAACTGGCTGAAAACAACAAAGTCCATGCTCAATAATCCGAATCGAAGGCGAAACGTTTCAGCACAAAAAAGTAACTGTCGAGATGACCTGACTGAAAAATGTTGTTTTGCATGAATAGTTATGAAATGTTAGCGTTTGGAATTATTTTAGACGGCATCGATCCACTTTGGTCTCAGACTACCTATTAGCTCATCCATTTGGTCATACATTTAAACTCCCTTTTTCCTCTAAACTAAAGTCACTCAAAGGGTTATCTACAACAGGTAAGATACTAACTGTTCATAACCTTCCTAAGCATTCCATTTAAAGAAGGCATACAAACAAACACTTTTCCAATGTCCATCTTTTCTTTGTAATTGAAGCAAATTTTATATATTTTTTGGATGCATTTTTTAAATAAAACTAATCAAATAAACTTTTTTTTTGAGAAATTTGTTTTAATTCCATTTAAATAGATTTTGTGAGAAAACTTGTCATGCCTAGCTCAAAAAACAAACAGAAAAATGATGAACCATTGTGAGCTTTGGTTATGGTACACATCCATTGTGGCATTTCACATTGTGAAATATATTATTGTCGTATATAATTTTATTCATATCTGTCATAATTATTGCAATGATCGTGGACGAGTCAACACATTCACTGCACATTATCTTCAGCACATCCCAAAAATGTGGGTTTGGATCTGTGTTGGCCAACCCGTGTGTAAAATCCATGTCTCATCGTGCTCCCTAAACCAGTTTTTCCCAATTTAGGCCTGTTGAATCCTTGCTTTGTGGCTGAATGTGAGAGGGCTCCTTAAACCATTGTGTCACATGGTTATTTAAGGAATGAGAAGCTGCTCTCTCCATCTGTCAGGGTTAAAGGACTTATTGTCAGCCAAAACACGTCCATCGCTGCAGTGCTTTTCAATGAGTCGTTAAACTCAGGTGGTACTCTTTGGGCAGACTTTAACACAGAGCTCTTTTTTTTCCCGTTAAAATATGATTTACATTTCAAATAGTTACAATAGCACGATTAGATTCAAAATGGAACACCCTGATCTTTATAACCCAGCTTTTTTGCTGTATTCCTATCAATCCATGAGGAAAAGTTTCTACAAACATCAGCAGGTCATTTAAAGGCCAGTTATATGCAGATCCTTGAACGAGCGGTATAAACACTTGAAACATTTCAGCACCAGTTTAACCCTTTCTAAGTGCAAATAAGTAGAATGCATTTCCATCAACAAACCTGGACGTGTAAAAATGTCTGCAGAGAAATCAACCTGTTGAGTGTTTTTTTGTGACAGAACGAGGAGAAGGTTCAAAAACATTTTTATTAAAATTAATATTTTTAATACAAATACTGTTTTGCGAGACACTGTTAGTTGTTTTCAGATGATTAAAGCTCTTTATTAAAGCATTTACAAGTTTTAAGCACCCTTTATAACTTAGTCCTAATCAAATCTATTTATAAACCGCAGCTAAAACAACCAAACATGACCAAAGGGCCGTATAATAAATCCTCAATAGACACAAGGTAAGTTATTAAAATAAAACTATACAGTAATCAATTTAAAACTATTAAAACATGAAATGTGAAACCAAATAAAATTTTTTAATGGAAAAAGTTGACATAGGTGGCGCAGTTGTTAGAGCTGCTGCCTCTCAGTCAGAAGGTTGCCAGGTCAAACCCCGGTCCAGGGGCCTTTCTGGGTGGAGTTTGCATGTTCTCTCCGTGCATGCGTGGGTTTTCTCTGGGTACTCCGGTTTCCTCCCACAGACCAAAAACATGCATGTTAGGCTGATTGGTAACTCTAAATTGTCCCTAGGTGTGAGTGAGAGAGTGAATGGTTGTTTGTCTCGTTTGTCTCTATGTGTCCCTGTGATGGACTTGCGACCCATCCAGGGTATCCCCCGCCCCTCGCACAGTGATTGCTGGACATGGGCACCGGCGACCCCCGTGACCCAAAATGGAATAAACAGGTAAAGATAATGGATGGATGGATGGATGGATGGATGGATGGATGGATGGATGGATGGATGGATGGATGCAGTGGTGAGATGATTCAGCAGGGACGGACTGGAACCCTGAGAGCAAGGAGCAGAGTTTTAAGAGATATAATGTTTCTCAAGGAGAAGATGCAGCTGTAGTTCTTACTGCAGGAGTTAGTAGTTGGTCGTGGAGGTGAACAGTCCAAATGGTTCCAGGAGAGTCTGTACAAGGAGGCAAGTGGTGGAAGGCAAGGAGCAGCTTGAGGAGAACACTAGGAGACTTGAATAGGGAAACCAGGAGATCCAGGACCCAGGTGGAGCACAGGAGTCAGAACTAGAGCATGAGTACAAGTATTATAAATCACTAAGAGTAATTTATCAGGCCAGGAGCACATTACCATAAGGCAGACAATGCAACAGCATCGGATGAAGTCATCTGCTGCTACTTGTATTCCAGATGCTCAGTAGCCCCAGTGGATCCCAGGTGTGGTTCTGCTGGTGCTGTCTGGTGTAGGAAGAGCTGTGGAAGAAAAGGCTGGCGATCCAACAGGCTGATTGGTAACTCTGAATTATCCCTAATGAGAGAGTGAATGGTTGTTTGTCTCGTTTGTCTCCATATGTCCCTGTGATGGACTGGAGAACTGTCCAGGGTGTCCCCAGCCTCTCGTACAGTGATGGTTGGATATGGGCACCAGTTTTGGGCCGTTTACAGCAAAGACATGAGCTCTCTCGCTGACTGCTTAAAAACATGAAACATCCAAAAAGAACTTTCCAGAAGCTCTGAGAAATGTAGCCTTTTTAAAAAGGCAGATACATTCAGATATGATTTCTTCAGTTAGATGAGGAAATATTTTATAAACAAATAGTGACTGGTCTGAATGACTACAGGGCAGTAGCCCTCACCCTGATCGTCTCTAAATGCTTTGAAAAACTGGTCATGACCCACATCAAAACAACCATCAACATCAACAAGGACCCCACTCACCCAGCACACACTTTTTGTCCCGCTCTCCTCAGGAAGGAGGTTGAGGAGCATTAAGTGTAGAACCACTAGACTGAGGAACAGCTTCTACCCTGAGGCTG